TGTTAGGACTCCACAAGAGGTGATGCATTTTAAAAAATTAATTGTATGCATACACATATTTGAATTTACAGAATGTATTTTCCTATATTCATTGATTTTTTAATGATCTCTTCTGATCTCAAAATAAATGATTTTTTTCCCCAAAAGAACTACTATTAAGGTCACTGATTTATAAAAAAGAATTCCTTTACTCTGGTACCAATCTGGTTCGCTACAATGGTTGACACGGTATTATTTTATTATCCTAATGGTTGACACAATGTCATTATATTATTCCCGATGGTCTGAAATCCTCTTGGATACTTGGTCTCTTTGGTGATCACTTAACTTTGATTTCTTCTACATACACCACAGTGGAGTGAACCACCACCGTTAGTGACTGGAATGTCGGTCTTTGTTGTAGACCTGATAAAGCCTTATCTAAAGGCCCTGAGGAGGGGGTGACTCCTTCCCTGCAGGGGAAAGAGATGTATTCTGTTTTCTCATGCTTGGAATTGACAGAAAGCAAATAAGAAAGAGGACTGCTAAGCCTGAGGTTACTCAAGGCCTGGCTGGTGATAATTAGTGACTGTGGAGCCATTCCAGAGCCTCCAAATTTACATCCAGAAAAACTCAGTTTCTAAAACTATGCAGCCCTCCAGGGAGGCCACCATGAGACCCTGGGGGATAGTGGGCAAGGAAGACCCATTTGAATGGCAGACATGGGTGATGCAACTGGTTAACCAAGGAACATCCTACACTGACAAACCAAGAATTCTACTCCTGCCCAGCAGAATTTGATATGTATTAGTATCAGTGATTTCTGTTTGTTTTCCATTCTCTCTATTCCCAAGTGGTAGTTTTCCCTTGGATTCATGCTTCCTGTTGTTTCTCTGTCGTTCTATATCGCGGGAGTACAGACAGATAACTTGTTTTTTTAAAGCTATGAGTTGCTAAGCCAAGAGGAGCAGCTGAGTCTGGGTCTGATGGAGATGATGTCATCCCCAGATGTGATTACAGGGTGAGGCTTTGAGGTGGGCTCCCTTCAGGAAAGAATGAATGCATGTCACCCAAAATGTATAAATGGGAAGAATGGGTTTGTGTATGTTGGAGAGCCAGGGAGATAAATGACTCTTAATTTTCTCTACTATAGGCCAAGAAGCTAAAATGCTCATCATCCTAGAATCTCTTGCAGCTAAGGGGGAAACCATATGACTCAGTTTTGGCCATTGACATGTAAACATAAGTTCCTGAGCTAGGATTCTGGAAAAGCTTTTAAAACTTCAGAATCAGCCTTATGATTCTTCAGCCTTTTGCCCTTTTCTTTTTCCTGGCTTAAATGTGGATATAATAAGTGGCACTTTAGAAAAGAACATGTAAATGTATGGATGAAAGCCACATATAAAGAATCACAGAGCAGCCTTGACCCTTGATGGCACCCAAAACATTTTGCCCTTCATTGCTTATCTACAGCTTTCTTATTAATGAGTAAAATAAACACCTACAAGGTAAGCTATCGTTAGTTGGTTTTTCTCAGCTCTTTTCCTTTTATGCTTGAGACATATTCCTTGGCAAATGACCATCTTTTAAATCCCCTAAAATTGGCAAGAGTAGCAACAACCAATATTTTTAATCCAGAGCTGTAGCAGTCCCAGGAGATAAATCATATGCTGAAAATCCAGAATAAGAAAGAAGTTTTATTCAGTGTTGATTCTCCAACACCTAGCACAGTGCCTGGCACTTAGCAAGCAATAAAAATGTTTGTTCGTTGATCCTATTGATTGTATTTTTCAGAAAACTTTTTAAATAAAGTAACACTTAAAGCATATATCAGGATTTATAGAAAGTTCAGTAACAAATTTGAATTTAATGCATAACAATATTTATTGAATAATTAACATGTATTGAATTGTAATCTAAACACTATACTAAATTCTTTGTGTTTATTTTTAGTTAATTTTCACAACAGTCCTATAAACTAAGTATTATTATTGGAGAATTTCAGAGGTATTTAAATAAGTTAGACAAGGTCACACAGCCAGGTGGTATGAGAGCCAGGATTCAAGGCCAAGTATATCTCCCTCCAAACCTATGCTCTTAATCACTATGTATTAATAAAATATTTTAAATCTGCTCTCCTAAAAGAAACACCCTTTGATCCCTAAAAACCCTTTCTGGCAGAACAGCAAGTACACAGAAAATGTCAGTCTGTGTTAATGGTTATACATTATTAATCAATTACCACTTACTGGATGATTTAGTAATTCCTCCTGGTTGACAAATCAGTTGAATTTTTCATATGCACACATTGGAGTAAGTTAGCTCAATAAAGTGATTCACTTGGAGCATTTCATGTTTGCTCCAGGTTGCTATTGGGAACCTCGGTTATTTGTGGCATTTTTGCTCGAAAATCCTGGAGTCATTAAAATCTGGCCCCACAGACTGCAGAGTAGGATATCGATAAGAACAAGGATGCAGGTGGCAATTCAGTAGATACTTAAACGGCAAAAAATGTAGTGCAAGTTTCCCACACCTTGCAGACTGCAGGTTTATATGATAATAAACAATTATCCCCAGGACAAAGGGGAAAAGGCCATGAAATCCAATAGCGCAGTGAGAAATCTACTAATACAGGTGGTCAAGCTTGTTCCATTTCATTGTCAAAGGGAGGCTATTTACTTGCTTCCAGTAGTTCAATTACAGAGTCATTTACCGCTGAAAGTTTTCCAGTAGGCAGATGTAGATCTACAGCTCTGGGCTTTACATTCAAAATCAGTGAGGAAAAAGGGAGTAAGAATCTCCTCCACAGACAGCATAATTGATAAGGTAAAAATCTGTAAGCAACTCCAGAAATAAAATAAGTGCCTTTAAGCATCCCAGTTGGAATCTCCTTACTGTGTATAGTGGGCATGGGGAAGGGTCAAGATGCTGACTATAATTAATGATTTTTTAGAAGCTCTTTAAAATATTTTCCCTTTGATAGTTTTCTGTCTAGATGAGATATCAGTGGTTGGTGTGTGTGTGTGTATGTGAAAAATAAAGAGAGAGAGAGAGAGAGAGAGAGAGAGATTCCTTGTGTACCAAAATGCTCAGAAACAGAGGGAAAATATTCACAATGGATCCTCAGTAGTTATAAAATCAAAGACAACTTTCTTTTCCTCTTGCGGAAGATAAAAGTGGTTTTTATCCAACAAATAACACTGTGTGTGTGTGTGTGTTCTGAGGACATCTGAAACAGTGGAGATTATACAGACTGTAATCATTATTTCTAAACTGCCACAGTCTAGCAATTTCCAAAATTTGGCAGTGTAGCCATAGACTAGATCAAAGATATGTCAATAACAAGGGTTTTTCTTGAGCATGTTTTTCATCATTTTCTTGTCAATAGGTTCTGCCTTTCAGTTGAAATTCAATTTATATTTTGCATACACCTAACCACTGTAATTTTATCACTTGTTTGCTGGGCATAAGAAGCCACTACTTAAGTGGCCAAGTAACTTGACCCTTGTCAATCAACCTTTAAACCAAGACATGTATGTAATTCCCTTATTAATTACAAAGATTAACTTCATCAATCTTAGTTCATGACCAAATTCAAAACTTCCAGGCACAATCATGATAAGAAATACACAGCTGAAAGATTTTAAATTCTAATTTATCCCACCTTGAAAAACAATTAAGGTGTCATAAAGGGCAATGAGTCCACCAAGGTAATCTCTATGGGAAGTGACCCACAACAAAAGGTTAACAGATAGGGGAGGTATCAGCTTGCTAGAAGACAACTGAAGATGAAGAAAACCAAATATACCACCTCTAGTTATTGGATGCTGAAATTGGAAAATGTCATCAGAAAATTTTAGCAATGATAATAAAATCCAAATGACCAAAAATTTGACAACTTAGTCAATATAACTCAGCTCTCTGTGGGAATAGTTAAGAGTAAGTATATACATAAATATGGCATAAAAGCATTAGATCAGGATTTCAAGATCTATTGGCTTTTCTACCTAACTTTTGAGAATCCAAAGATCAACACATTCACTGGTAGTAATCAGAAAACTTAAGTTGCATGTGAATAATTAATGGTCCAAAATGACCATTATTTTAAAACAAATATGTACCAAGCATCCCTATGCTATAACCAATTTTTTAAACTTTTTATTTGGAAATAATCATAGATTTACAGGACGATAGTATAGAGAGATCCCCTGTACCCTCCACCCAGTTTCCTCAAAGGTTATATCTTACATAATTTTAGTACAATATCAAAACCAGGAAGTTGACATTGTGTGCACAATATGTGTGCATGTCACTTTTATCATATGTGTAGATTCTTGTATTTACCACTGCAATCAGGATACAAAACTATTATAAATGATTTTATTTGTTTTCTTGAATATAAAAATGCATTATAATTTCAGGTAGAAAGTTCCAGACTACTTGTTTTACAAAACAATCACAGCATATTGAAAACTATTAATATTTAGGAAATTATTATCTAAGAAAACTCTATTTATAAAGGCCAAAGTGAAATTCTAGCAATACAGACAACATACATTTGTGTTAAACTTATCTCCCTGCACAGATCAGACCACCCCATCATTCAGCGATTGGCTCTCCGCAGCACGAGAGTGAGCGAGTTTTCAACACGTAGTTTATCAAAGACATCTTACTGAGAACTGTGCTCCTCCAAAACTGTTTACTGGTGAAAGCCCCAGATACACACATGCGCATACACACGACGCTCTGGTCTGGGGTAAAACTGAGCACTTCACAAGTGCCTTTAAATCACTAATGAAGTTACCATAATAAAGGAGAACATTAATAAATATACACAAAGAATTAATGAAATAAACTAGCCAGATTCTTCCAAGCCAAGTCTATCATGGCGTTTCTTATTTTCCCTAACAAGTAAACATAATCCAAATTGTTGCAAACTCCAATTCGATTCAGCTCATGGCAGTGGAAAAATATATGATCACAAAAGAAAAAAAAAATCAGAATCGAAACACCATTCTTACCTTGGCCATTTGTGCCTGCACGCCATTTGCCTTGAGAGACGCTACCGCTTTCTGTGCAGCTGCTGGACTGTCAAAATCTACAAAACCATACCCTGTGAAAACACAAAGACCCTGGTTAGTACTCACAAAGAGCTGCATCTCTGTCACACCAATAGAATGTGTGTTTGTGGTCAGACTTGCACTCATGACCCTGCTTGAACCATAGACCTCAATCTATGGCCCTTAACATGTCAGGAAAGATACCACAATATCGTTCAACATAAAATAGTAACTCGCTTATTTTCTAGAGGTTGCTTTTGAGATTGGCTATGTAATCAGCAAGCTGATTTAGACTAATTTGGTGAGTAAGGTAATATATTATTTAACCATGTTCTTCTTTCTTCAGTGGATTTGCTGCAAGAATGAGGAACACAAAATGCTGAAAAATAAAGAAAAGTTTATCTCGAAAGTTAATTTTCTAAACCTAAAAAAAACTGATGGTAATAAAAGCCATGATAGAACCAGCATGAAGTTAGTACAAGCAACCTCAACAGTTTCTGGTATTCAGTAGGCATTCAATAAATGCATGTTGACTACATGAATGAATGAAGGTTGTGAATGAGTCCAGGGAGGTTTGAAACTAGTTGCAGTTGATTTCCAAGCTTGTGTTAAGTCATTACGGACCTCGTCTCTCTCAAACATAACACCCTAAATAAACGATTTGACTGTTAAGGAACCTGTGATAAAGACTGAGTAAATAGAGAAATATTCAAGCGTCTTTTAAAAATAAGAAACAAAGACCCATGTCACGTATTTGTTACTTAAGTATAATCTGAAAAGGTACAAGAGTTGCCTATACTGTTCTCTGATTGTGTGCCTGTGTGTGTGTGTGTGTGTGTGTGTGTGTGTGTGTGTCTGTGTACAGAGTGAGGCCAAAGAAACAGCCAGTAAAACAGAATAAATGAAAAGGGGCTTTTGCATACCCATAAAATAGCTGATATTAGTTCAGGACAGCCTAACAGTAATTTCAGCTGCCAAGGATATTTCAAAATAAAAATGCTCAAGAATGAGTGTTTGGCACTCAGTGCCCACCATACGTATCCCGCTCCTCTCCTCAGCTGTCAGGCAGGGATTTGCTCTGTATTCCAATATTTTTCTCATTTAGAAGTTTTGAGGGAAACTGCTAAGGCAAACCTACTTAACCATGCACTGTGACCATGCCCCCTCCCCACTAAAATAAACCAAAGAGTGAAAGGGAATTCAATTACCAAGTTGTTTCTTGTAATTAACTTTTTAATTTTCTCCCCTTGAATCTCTTCTTCTTTTTCTCCCTCCCAGCATGTTAACCTAAAATGAACTTGTTACACATCAGTGTACCATCAAATGCTCTTGAAAAGCTGGGCAGAGAAACTGGGAAATTTGTATTTCGAATCCAAAAGGAAGCCTGCTCTGTCAGTATTGCTAATTCCTTTCTTCCCACAAAATTCAAACTATGTGACTAATATGAGTATTACCACCCACTAAGATGAGTAAGATGAGGGAAAAAGCAGAAAGAAAAAGAGGAAAAAGAACAAAATAAGTCAAGAAGTAGAGTTAGAGGGAGAGGAAGATAAAACTAAAATGCAGACTTTATCTCCTATGTTCCAGCAACTGCCCTGAGTGGGTGATGTGTTGACACCTGATGAAATGATAATAATACATGTACTACTGTCCTCATGCCTGTTCACGTACATACATAGAGAAACTGAAGCTTAGGCCAGGTGACAAGACTGGTCCCAAATCACTCGCTGCTTAATCAGTAGAGCCAGGATGTGCAGCAAAGTCCGCACACGCCCTTTCCAAATATGCTGTACTATGAACTGCCTTATAATCTTATTTTGCAAACTATTTCTAGAAGCCCCTGAAACCCACCAGAGAGAGGACACAATCCTTGAAAATCCCTTAGACTCTGAGGTTTGCACATGAAATAAAACAATCCCATAAAAGAATTCAACCCAGCGCATTCACTTATTCACGGAGTGGTTGAGTCCTCAGCAGAACGGGCTACATGAGGTTTGGCAAGGCACCCCTCCCACCTCATGCTTTGGTCAGTCTTCCCCATCTGTTTGCAGGCTCATTCTTTCATTCAATAAGGAAATTCTATGTCAGGCATTTTGCCGGGTACAGGGTATAGAGTAGTGAAAAAAAACCAAACAAACCCAGTTCCCACCCTTACGCAGCTTATAGTTGAGTTGGGAGATGGACATAAAACAAATAACCATACAAATGAATCTATGATTACAAATCGTATGCCTTCCCTGAAAGTAAATGAGATCATATACCACAGAATCTGATGATTGATTGTTCATTATTGAAAGTTTTAAGGGAGCAGTGGCATGGGATGACCTGCATTTCTTAAAATATCACTCTAGCTGGCTTGTCTTAAAGATGGTATTGGTTTTGGGGGAGGCAGGTAGCAAGAGTGGAATCAGGGAGATAACTTAGGGGCTATTACAGCAATCTGAACAAATGACAGCTGGCCATGAAATGGACAGGATGCAATGGATGGTCTGAGTTACATTCTGGAGGCAGAATTAACAGGACCCAGTGATGGATGGACTGGGTGGGAGTAGGGGAGATACAGGCGACAAGGATTACTACAGCTTTTTCAGCATAAGCCAATGGGTGGGTGGAGATGTGATCTATAGAAATGGGGAGCTGGGAGGAGGAACAAACAGGGGAGAGGGAAAATTAAAATACTGGTTTGAGGCATGGCGAGCCACAAATGCCTGTGAGACATCTAAGTAAAAATGTCAAATCGCAGCTGGATATATTAGGCTGGTGCTCAGAAAAGGGAATAAGATTGGAAATATAAACTAGGAGATCAACAGCACGAAGATATGATTTACAGAAACAGAAAAAGACAAAAGCGCCTGGTGTAAGTAGAAACAAAGAGCCCAGGTTTGGAGCTGAACTTCACCACTGAAGTGTCAGATAGGAAAATGAGATTGCAAAGGAGGCTGAAGGAGAGTCAGAGGGAGAGAAGGAAATACAAAGGGAATAAGATGTCTCATAGCCAAGGTAAGAAAGCTTCCCAAGCAGGACGGAGAGACTGACGGTGTCAAATGCCACTGAGAGTGACAGCAAGATGGGAGCTTGAGAGACCCAATGTTTCAGGAGCGTGGACTTCTTTATTTAACTAGAGTTGATTTATAATATTGTGTTAGTTTCAGGTGTACAGCTTCAGATTCTTTTCCATTATAGGCCATTACAAGACACTGTGATGTATAGTTCCCTGTGCTATAGATAGGTCTTTGTTGTTTATTTTATATACAGTAGTGTATATCATGGACTTCTTTTCATGCTTGGCTACAGGCCAGTGGGGGCGACTGAAGTCTGCTTGAGCAGTTGAAGAGCAAGACTAAGGGAGGTAAAGAGAGTGTTTACAGTCTGCTTTGCCATTATGCTGCTGGGAAGGAGAATTAATAGCCAGCTTTAGCTCGAGGGGGATATGAGGTCAAAGGAGCTATTTGTGTTCGTTGGTTGTAAGATAGGAGATACTATGGTTTTCAACCTTAGCTGCATGCTAGATGCACTTTGGGAGCTAAAAGAATGACCAATGCTCACTTCTCACCCCCAGGAAAATGAAATCAGTGTCTTTGGGAATGTGGCCAAGGTGTCTGCACACACACGCGTGTGTCTATTCCCCGGCTGGTTTCAGTGTGAAGCCAGGGTACAGTACTGCTGAATATTCATTCAAGTTATTCAACAAGTATTTATTTGTTGCCCCTACTATGAGATAGATACTGTTCTTGGCACTTCTGAATGTTGGTAAGAAAGATCAAGCAGAAGTCAAGAGATTAAAGCTTCAGGCAGAGAAGGGGATAATTTATAGGGCAATGTTCCTGAGAAGGTGGAAGTGTGAGGGGTTCTAGAACATGAATGAAGTGCTGTCCTTTGCTAAAAGAGGGACTTTGCCCTTGGCCCATTGTAACTGGAAGGAAGAAAAAAAGAGCAGTCTCGATTACCAGGTGTTATTTCTTTGTATATCTTTGTTTCTGGGACATAGCCTGAGCTTAATAAACATTTGTCGAAATTAATTGAAACCATGTTTAAAAGATGCTAAGTTACTTCATGGGACTACAGTGGAGATTAACTAATAAAAATGTCTGTTAATACATTTTGACTCTAAAGAACAATATAAATGCCAAGCAGCCACGGCTCTGGCTTAGCCACATTGCCACCCAGTGACGCCACCAAGGATTTCATGACTCTCGGCCTCTATCACAGTGTGGCTTCCTCCATTTTTTCCACTACACACATCACACAGGATATTACAAAATCAAGATGCTGTTCTCCAGGGCTGAACTCCAATCCAAACAGAAGAAATCCTTGTGAGGGCAGGAGACACCCTGAGCCTTGTCTGAATTGGGGAAGTTATGGGTGAACTTCGAGAAGAGTGTCTTTCCAAAGAGCCATCATGCCAGCAAGGAGAGAGGCCCCTAAGTACAAAATATCTCCTCTCCTGAAGGCTCCTGGGAAGCAAAGTTATAAATAAAGAATCAACATTTCACTGAGTTCTGTGTTTTTCATACAAACTTACTTTCACCAATTAAAATGAACAAGCAGAGGTAAAATGTCTCAAGCACCGCCCCCCCCAAAAAAACACCACAATTCTGGAAATAAACATTGCATTCTTGACTCTTATGTGATAGCATATACTACACCACAATCAGAAAGGAACAAAATTAAATACGAAGCTGCCCCTAGAGAATAATGATGCCTTTACGAAGGAATAAAGCAACTCCAATTTGTTTTCCTTAACTACAAATCATCAAGCCTGGGAACAGAAACCTCTGTACCTACATCTGGTGAGAGGCAGGGTAGGGAGATTAGTTCAGCTCCAGCTAATAATGCTTTATGGTAACTGCTAAAATCCTCCATAAAATGGGACCCATTGGAAACACCAGCCCCAGTGACTGAAAGGCCATTGGTCTCCCTCAATTACATAATTAAGCTTGGCAGCAGGTTCAAATGAATGAAAACTGAATGTCACTGTTTTCTCCACACACCCTTGTACTTGTTTTCCTTCCTTGTCAGGGGGATAAGGCCAGCAGTTCTGCAATTAGCGGGA